TCCTAATTTTAAATTATTATTCTTTGATTAAAGTGTTTAAATTTTTTTAATAAAAATTTAATTTTGATTTCTAAATAATATTAGAATTTTTTATAATTCTGATACTTGATATGATCTCTGTGATACAATATTCTACTCATCACTTTATTACCTGAATAATTTCGTGCACTTATAAATTCGTCCATCAAGTTTTTGGTGTCGTTGCTGCGATTGTTAGTATCAATATCAATACTAAGGGTTCTATTATTAATTTAGAGTTTATTTTTTATTTTTTTATTTTTAATTTAAGTTTAAATTATTTATTTACTTATATATATATATTTATTTTATTTATTTTTGTTTTTAATTTACTTGTGTTTTTAGTTTTTATTTTTTCTTTTAATTCATTTTAATTTAATTTATTTTTATTTATTATTTTTAATTTAAGTGCATTTTTTTTGTTTTGTGTTGTTTATTTTATTTTATTTATTATTATTTTTTGTGAGCAAATTACATTGTTTCTTTTTCTTTTTTTAGTTGGTATATGAGTCAATCGAATAATGCAAAACTGTTTTCTATAAATTCAGAGATCAAAAGAACTTGTAGACAACTGAATCGAGAGAGAAGGGAACACTTAGCAGCAGAAAGACAAGCAAGAGTTGAGATGGTTAAACACGAAGAATTTTGACGAGCGGGGAATGTTTGGATGAGAATAACCGGAGAACACTTAGGGACTTTGCTACTCCACTTTTAGGAGTTTCATTCAACATAGTTCGACCAAGTGCCAACGCCTAACAACTTCAAGATTAAACCTGCCATCATTTAGATTACCCAAACTTCAATTTAGTTTGGCAGTTTACCAAATGATGATCCTAATGTCCATCTCTTTGATTTTTTAGAATTGTTTGATACTTTTAAACAAAATGATATTTCTATTGATGCAATTAAACTTAGACTTTTTGTTTTCTTTAAGAGATAAAGCTAAGAATTGATTATATTCTCTTCTTGTAGGTACAGTTACTACATAAGAAGACCTAGCTCAAATTTTTGGCTAAATTTTTTCCACCAGTCAAGATAGCAAGGATGAGAAAAGATATTACAAGTTTCTATCAAATGGATGGAGAGGCATTGTATAATGCACGAGAGCGATTTAAGGAGTTAATTCGAAAATGTCTTTATCATGGGTTACCTAAGTAGTTGTTGGTCCAAACCTTTTATAACAGATTGATCTAACAAAACCAGGATCACAATCGATGCATTTGTTGGAGGTGTTTTGATGGGGAAGTCTATGGATGATGATTATGAGTTATTGAAAGAGATGGCCATGAACAACTATCAATGGCCAATAGAAAAACTTTAACCCAAGAAAAATACTAGAATATATGAGATTGATGCTTTAACTACTCTTAATATAAAACTTAATTCTTTATTTAAGAAAATTGATCAAAAGAGTGTTAATGTTGTTAATTCTCATGTGCAGGGTTTATTTGAAGATCATTTTCAAGTACATGAGGTAGAGCAACTAAGTTTTGTAGCTGGACAGAGCAGGCCACCATACAATCCATACTTTAATACATATAATCCTGAGATGAGAAATCATCCAAATCTTTCATGGAAGAATAAAAAGAATATGGCCGGGCCTCTCCTAGGATTTTAGTCTTGAGGAAATAAGCACTCACTTGAAGATATGATCGCAACCATTCACAAGAGCACAACAGAGTTTACAACAAAAACTGAAGCAACCATTCAAAATCAACAACTAATGTTGCAAAACCAACAAGTGTCGATCAAGAACTTGGAGATCCAGATGGGTGAATTAGTAAGCATGATCAATGGAAGAGCTCAAGGTACCCTGCCAAGTAACACAGAGAGAGTTGGCAGATATAAAAGGATGAAATAGCCATAGAGAAAATGGTTGAAAAAGAAAAGGTGGAGAAAGAAAAGGAAAAGAAGAAATTTGTGCTCATGACTCCTTCGTTTGTGGTCCCCTGAGGCTAAAATGACTTGTTGAGTGTTTATGTCCTCTTTTCAATTTATTTGAGATGTTATTCGATAAGCCAATCAAAATCATTCAGATTAATGAGGTTGAGTTAATGAAAGGGATTTCCTGTAAGACTTTGGAACATGACGTATGTGATTTCCTTTTCGAGATTTTTCTTGCATTGCTTCTTCAGTTGGCCAATTGCTTTGCTGATCTTCTACTGCAGGAAGCTCTCTTGATTTATCATCTTCTTATTTTACTCCATCTCGGGCATCCTCTTTTTAACACCCCGAATGTAACACCCCAAAAACTTTTATGTTTAATTGTTGTGTAAAACTTTTATTTATTCAGGTCCGAAGGCTATTAACTCTTTAATGTTTATTTTATTTTGAATTTTGAATGAAAACAGGTTTTAAAATGTTAATTTCATATTTTATGGACAAATTTAATTTTTACGCATTTATTTTTCCTATGTACATATTTATTTTTTTCATTTATTAAATTTCAAGAAAAACGAAGAAGGAAACGGCAGAAAAAGCTCATGGAAAGGGCCACGGGAACATTTTCCCCGTCCACACGGGCGTCGCTGGTCGCACACCCACATGCATATGCGGCCAGCATGGGATGGGTGCCTGTGCCCACACCCATCTATGTAGGGCGCGGGACCAATAGTTTGCTTGCATCACATTGTGCACGACGCCTTGTGCGCGCGCCATCCCTTAGGGTGTGCACCACCGTTCGGGCAACGGGCCATCGTCGTTTGAGTAGCATGCCTTCAGTTTTTGTACCACCATCGCATCACTGTCGTTGCGTTGGCCATCTATTAGTCGTGTCCCACAGTTGTTGCATTGTATTAAGTCACTTTTTTTCTGATCCCTCTCTCTTCACAAGATTTTTCCACTTGGCGAAAATTCAACGGTCCCTATTTTTTTTTAAATAGGGACTCTTTTTCCACCATTTCTTCACCACTCCAACTTCATTCTTCCATCCACTAAAGAAATTTTAGAGAGAGAAAGAGCTAGAGAGAGGAGGAAGGAATAGAAGAAGGAAATACGTACGAGAAACTTCAAATTTTTGGTAAGGAATTTGGTATCTATCTTTACATTCTAACAAACATTACTAGAATAATTAAATGAAATATTAATCAGTTGGTTGCATGCTTAATTTTTGTTATGATTTAATGTGACTCATGTGTATGTTATGTGTTAATGTATGTTTATATTATTTGTACAGATAAGTAAATTGATGGGTGTCGAATCGACCAAAAATAAATTCTTAATTAACCAATAAAATAATATTGTAGTAGTGGCAAGAAGGATCGAATCCACAGAGAAACCAATTTTCTTTTTTGACTAACAAATAAAAAATAAACAAACGAGGGGGTTTATTGAATCCAATACACAAAATATGAAATAAACACTGAGCAGAATAATATTAAACAAACTCTTGACTGCAAATTAAAAACTTAAACAATTATAAGAAGAATTCCTAGTTGATGAAATAACTAACTCTAGTATTATAATTGATCATAGACACAAGGATTTGTTTTACCCAAAATACGACAAATCAGTTATAGTTGTCAGAAACATTCTGACAAGCAATCTTTCCTTATTCCTAAACCAATTAAGAAATGTTTGTTAGTTGGTATTTCACTATCAAGCAGTCTCGAGAACGTCCATAGGATTTAACTTGTCAACGACCTTGGGAGCTAGAAGGACCTGATTCAAGCTGTCGGATTCATTCCCGTGAATCAGTGAGCTAGATTACTTGCGTCCTTAGTGCGTTATTGATTGCCACTAGGTGCTAGAACCACTCAAATAATTACAAATTTGAGGGGTTTAGCTAGTTGCTTGTTGTTTTTCCAATGTTTAATCGGCACTGTTCAAACGGATTCAAAACAACAAATATATATAAGTGCAGGAAGTAAATAAATACCAACTCTAAAGTAAAATCTAAATTAATTTGATTAGATCTCACAAATACATTGTTGGAGTTTGCTAGATCTATCAATTAGGAAAAGAATAGCCACTCATGGTGGGCTTTCCAATACAAAAGAGTTCTTATAGAGTACAGAGAAGAAGAAAGATAAAGAAGAAAAATTACAAAAGCAGCAAAAGCTGCTGTGTGTGGTGTCAGGAAGAAGAGATGGATGGATCTGCTTGACAGTCGCCTCTTTTATAGAAAAGGAGCTAGAGTTTTCTTCTTTTATTGATTAGGATTTTTTTCCTTGATTTTTTGTTTATC